ATGTTTATAATATGTTTATAATATTAATAAGTTTCTTACAAGAGAGTTAACAGAGCTTATTAAGACTTTTATTATATACTAGATATATGTTGTTTATATTTTTAAAAAATCAAGATTTCTGTAAAGATTACAAATAAATACAAAGTTTAAAGCTTAATAAAATCCTGCTCTAAATTTAGAATAATGGTTACCGACTGCAGGACAAGACGCCCATTCTAGACAATTTATATTGACAAAGGGTATTTGTGCTATTAAATTCTAACAAACTTGTAGTTACAATAAACAAGACATTAAAAAAAAAGATGATTGTGAAAAAAAAAGATCATGTGAGGAGTTAACGTCAGTTCTTCACTTGCACCACATGAGAATAATAATAGTTCATTACCTACGATATAAAAAGAATTCACAATTATTTTACTAAAATCGCGAACAAAGGAATAAGCAATTAATATTTCTTAATCACTGAACTATGTTTTTTAATACTGCACAAGTTAAACAAAAGATTTTCTTTCTCATCAGGTATATCTAAAATAAGGTTTTTATTTATGTATCAATTGTGATTTAAATGTATATGTCATAAGTTGGCTTAGAATTTGAAATAACTCTAAATGAATTAAAGTTAGCCAGTTATTAAATTCAAATTGATGTTATAAATCAACCCAAATTTTAAGTCAACTTATAATATATATGCATTGTTGAAAGGTTTTGCAGAGGCTTACACTGGAATAACCTTAACAAACTATCCTCAGCCCCAGTTGCAAATATAATTGAGTCGTTTTTGAACAAATGGTATTTATGCGAAATTTTTGGAGGATACGCTTTTACAAATAAGTTTATAAATCTTAAACAAATATATTTCTACCCGTAATTTTAAAATATAAAAAATAAGTTTACTTACGCAAAAATCTAACATTTCTACATTCTTTCCCATGAAAATTTTCTTGCAATTTATATTCGTTAAATCCATCGTTTATAGTCGTGGTTTCTCTTGAGTAAATAAATACCTTTTAATATATATACATGAATCAAGAAATTTTATCGAAATGATGAATTAAAAATTAAAAGATTTTAACTACATTCTCCTTTCGGATAAACATAAAACTAGTTTTATTCATCCGTTTATCTTGAGTTTTAAAATGCCGAACTCGATGGGCACCATCACACGCAATTGAAAGCATCTTTAATTATAAACATGTTAGTGAATAGATTGTGAATATGGTTATTAAGTGGAAATTTAAAATAAGAACCTCAAATTTTTTTATATCATTATATACAAAAAATCGCTTCTTATAAAATCCTAACAATATCAATTCATCATCTACAAACATTACCTTTTATACAATTATACATTAAGATCTAGAAATAATAAAAAAAAGAAAGGCAATAAAATAAATAATGAACCCGTAATCTTAACAATAACCTTTTCTATCCATCCTTTAGTAATTTTTGCTCTGTAAATTTCTTCCAATATTAGATCACATCCTGAAATTACTTGTTCTTCAAAGCATACGATCTGAAATCAGCGTTTATAGAAAGTGATTCACCACTCACAACCTTTCTAGTAAATAATCACCATTATGACAACTTTCCGTAATTTTAGATCCCTCCTCAAAATTATTATAAATTTACCAGTTATTGGCAAACTTCTCAACCTATATTTTACATACCCACCATCCCTTCCGGAAGTGTACATATTCAGTAAACCATCTCCGTTATTATTCTCTGAACTATCAAATTTTATTGCAACCGATGTTACTGCTTGTTTTCTATGTGGCTCACGAGAAAGCGGATTAATAATATTTAGCATGACACATAACACTATAGATAAGAAACTTGATAAGTCCACAATTGAATTGTCGTC